TCAATTCCAATATTTTAGCAAGAATGCCTAGTCACATGTGGCTCTTGGATTCATTCCTAGATAGAGCGTACTGGCCAATCCTTGTTGATGCGGACTCATAAAGCCAAAGCTTCTCGAAAGGAGGTGCACGGCAGCCCCATTGCACCAGGGGAACAAAGGTATCCAGGTCAAGGGAGCCCACGCTGAAGAAAGCGAGGGAGCACTATGCCCCAATTACATGCTTGTTTCGGAAAAATCATATCAACAAGTGTGGTCATTCAGTTATTAAGTGTCGGCCACAATCACAGCCGAGGACAGTCAATGTCAAGTGTATAATGATGTACTATATAGTAGTACATCACTATACACTTGACATTGACTGTCCTCGGCTGTGTACATATATAGATGTACTATATAGTACTTCTATATATGGCAATTTCAAGACTGTACTGTTAACCATTAGGTTGTAGGTTCAAATCCTATATACTATATAGTACTATATAGTACAGTCTTGAAATTGCCGAATGCCGAAAGGTACAGCGAATGGCAACGCAGACGCGCGACACCAGCAGATCGCGAAGCCGTAAAAAGGAAATGCGACCAATCTATCAAGCAAAATAAAATGTGATCCGTCCGTTATGGATCTCCTGGCTCCTAACACGATTTAGTTGGCCAACTACGTCGTCAAACATTTGAAAGAAGAAGATCCTGGTGTTTTTGTGCAGATTATCGACCAGAATGCACTGCATCAAGCATTGGCTCTCAACCATTCACCTGTAGCGCAAGGTGCCAATGCTGATGCATCGGCTGAAGCCTTTCGCGCATGGCTCATAAGCGGAGCTCGGAATGTCCACCCCAACAGTCAAGTTCCCCGTAATTCGAATTTTGCATTGGCATTCCATCAACTAACTCAAGTCGAGGCCATTGGTATTGCATATGAACAGTGGCACCACCGGCGCTGGTATATTCAACTTGAAGACAATCGACTCGGAGGAAATCCGATTGGACAGTTCGCGATCGTGTTTTGGATGGCTGGCACAGGAGCTCAACGAGCCACTTTTTCTGCCCTCCAAGATGTGTTTGGCTGATGTTGTACAATGAGTTTCATTCCTATGAAGGAAGAAGTAGAACTTGAGCGATTCTAGGATCATTTCAAATCAATCAGTGCATTTTTTTAAGTACTTGCAAAACGATTTTCCAGCCATTTTTTGTCTTGAATTCGAAAATCATGCGTGTTAGATTAGGACGACAAAACCTTTCCCATCCGCTCATCGTCCGCTCTTCCATCGCATATAAGAGCATCGAGAGTACCCCTAGACACCCTCAGAGACAGCGATGATGTACCATGTGCCATGTAGCACAT